CATTTCCTCAAAGGTATTTTTAATCTGAAAAGAGTTTCACTGAGTGAGAACTAATGTTAGGAGCTCAGCTCAGAAGACATTTTAAGTTTTACTTACGGTTTTTCACCCGAGAGCCTGCAGGAGTCATGGGCGGGTGTGTGGGGTGGAGTTTGGTGAGGAATGCTCCATGATATGGAAGTTCAGCTTAAAGACACGTCCCAGGGGCATTTCTGGTCCCCACCTGTCGTTTTGCTCCTCAGCATGGCTGCCTAAAAACACTGCAGGATTTCTCAAACATGCATGAATGAGTCAGACCAAGGCTTTGGGCATGTTTTTTATGAGAGTATAACATTATAACATGATATAAAACTCAAAAAAGTTGATTTTACATGATATTGCCCCTTTAAAATCCTGCTTCTTTAGTAGTATAGGGGTGTATTGGTGCTCATGACATACACTGGAAAGGCACCATCAATGCAGACAAGTATAGGCTTTAGAACAATATACACTTCCATCCAGCAAAGAAAACCCAGGACTGGTAATCGGTTGTGATTACTGTTCCAGTTTGAAACGTTCTTCTTTAGTTGGCTCGATCTAAAACAAAAGCCTGACCCCACTTTATTTCTGCACCCTCCATTTCTTCAGAGATGCCAAAATGGCTGCTTCAGAGAGAGTTAAGTCTGGTTCCACAGGGGAGCAACTCTGGCTTAAGATCAATGAACCCACTGAGAAGGACAAGGGCAAATACACCATGGATATCKTTGATGGCAAGGAGAGTGTGAAGAGGGTCTTGGAACTGACTGGCAAAGGTGGGTAAAAGATATTAAACTTATAGTTAGAAGACTGCTAACTAAAAACAAGATCCTCTGAACTTTACTGTTTTTGTACTTGTTTACCCAAATTATAATCGTTGATTTGTTCTGATGCAGTTTGGGAGGAGGCATTTGAAGAATTCCAGAGACTCAAGTAAGTAAACAAATACATTTTTGTTCATTTGCGTAGTTCTGTATTTCTGTCTTTGAGGATGTTTACATGCATAAATAGCAAAAAAGTTGTCACAAACCTAGAATAGGCTCTATGTGCGCCCTTTCAGAGCCCGTCAGAATACATTTCCTGGCATTGTATAACACATAAATAACCAAGATACCATTTTTAGATGCCCCTGACAATCTCTTGTCTTGTTCTTTCCGCAGAGCGGCAGCAATCGCAGAGAGAAGTAAGTGGTTGTTTCTTCCGTTTCTCCCTGGATACGGAGCCTTTTAAAAATAATGCAGCCTTTTCTGGGCGTAGTTTTATTTTTATTCTGGTTCATGTGGCTTTGAATACGTACAAAGTCTGGATTTCGTAATGAAAAAGGGGGTTTTATAAACTAAATATTGAATTTACAACAGAGAGTTTCTGATAATCGTTCACATTGATTCATTTACGGTGTTGTTAACAAGTAAATGCTTTTACCCTTGGYTCACTCCTGTATTTCTTGTTCAGACCGTGCTCGTGTTGTTGGAGGCTTGCCAGATGTGGTAGCAATCCAGGAGGGCAAGGTAAATACATAAAATTTTTACTCTGCTACAATGTCTCAATCCCCACTTCCACTGTGTCTTCTACTTTTTTTTTAAATCTCATTTGTGACTTCCTCTCACCTACTTTTTTTCCCACCTCCTCAGTCCCTGAACCTGACCGGCAACGTGTGGGGCGAGCCTGTGCCCGAGGTGAGCTGGACGAAGAACGAGAAGGTGCTGACATCCGACGAGCGCTACAAGCTCAAGTTCGAGCAAGGCAAGTTCGCCAGCATCACCATCGCCGCCGTCACCACGGCCGACTCTGGCAAATACGCGCTGGTGGTGAAGAACAAGTTCGGCACGGAGGCTGGCGAGTTCACTGTCAGCGTGTACAACCCTGAGGAAGAGGAGGGCAAAGAGGAGAAGAAAGACTAAAAGATGACAGCAGTCGATTTAATAAAAAAGGGGGAATTTTACCCTGCAATAAAGAAGTTAAATAAACCTTAAATACAGCAGCATTCTCCTGCTTCTTTCATGTGCTGTGCTTAGCTTTAAATTGTTAGTACCAAAAGCATAATTAGATGTTGAAAGAATAACTTGTGCTTCTTGTTTCTTGGCATTTGTTCAGTCTCTTGTGGTCTCACCAGTTCATCCGTACGAGTTGAATATTAATCTTTGCTTTGAAAACAGCTGGAAGGCGAACAATTGCTGTCTCCCTATCATAATAAAGTATAACATTTGGCTAACCTTTGGACTCGGGATTCCTACCATGGAAGAATAAGTAATAGCATTAAATGCATTCTGAATATTTGAGAAACTTAGCATGTCAAGTATTTAACAGGTTCAACATTTTATTATTTATAAAAAAAATGGCAAGATTGCAAACAACCTGCTGTGTGTAAGCTGTGTGTCGTGCCAGTGTTTTGTAGATGAAGTAATAAACAGCAGTGGTGTAAAATAGGACTGGTGTGACAGTTTATGAGGTCTCAGACATGGCGTCTAAAGCTGAGTGCAAAATTTTAGTATGAATTTTTTTTTTTGGTATTTTTCTTTAGAACATGTGTCATGCTTCACTGTTAAATTCCCTTGAAAGAAAGGTGAATGTAGAATTTCAGGTACTATAAACGGAAACTGCTTTGCCTCGTAGTATTTAGTTTCAGGCTATAGGTAACAAAAGCAAGTTAAACAGGGTTCCCCTTAGCTGCAGGTGGTTTGGTGCATATTTTTTTAAATAATGTCTTATCAGAAAACTTGTTTTTGCTCTAAAATTTAATTGCTTAAGCATAAATGTTGTTTTCTGATTTATTATCCTCTTTTTTTCATTCATTTGTTGCTCTAAAAAACCCAAACAAAGCGATAAAGTCCTTTAAAAAATCAAAAAGAAAAAAATTGTATAGGTCTTCTGGACGGGTTCTTCTCTAATGAAAYGTTTCGTCTCTCCTCCAAGAGACTTCTTCAGTCTGAGAGTTTCAGGCAAAATTCAGGCTTTTAAGCACTGCCTCCATGTGACTGATACTCACATCACATGGCTATCGTTGACACCTAATTAACACCTATTGTTAACAGGGGGTGGAGTGATACTGGCAATAGCAGCGCTGTGGGAGGGGGACATCTACGGAATTCCGTATGTTGCGGGTGTTTCGGAGAAACTGAGACGTTTATTTTCTAAACATGATGTCCCAGTGGCTTTCAAACCCCAAAACACATTACGGTAAAGGCTGGTTCACCCCAAAGATCCGGTGCCCCGGCACAAACAGAGCAATGTTGTATATGCTGTTAAGTGCCAGGAGGACTTCGACCGGTTATACATCGGGGAAACAAAGCAGCCACTGTTCAAAAGAATGTCCCAACACAGACGAGCTACATCTAATGGCCAGAACTCTGCAGTTTTCACTCATTTACAGGCCAGCGGTCACTCTTTCAGAGATGAGGATGTTCTCATTCTTGATAGAGAGGAACGTTGGTTTGAGAGAGGAGTAAAAGAAGCCATTTTTGTGAAGAAAGACCGTCCATCATTAAACAGAGGTGGAGGCCTCCGTTTTCAGTTGTCCCCCTCCTACAGTGCTGCTATTGCCAGTATCACTCCACCCCTGTTAACAATAGGTGTTAATTAGGTGTCAACGATAGCCATGTGATGTGAGTATCAGTCACATGGAGGCAGGGCTTAAAAGCCTGAATTTTGCCTGAAACTCTCAGACTGAAGAAGTCTCTTGGAGGAGAGACGAAACGTTTCATTAGAGAGGAACCCGTCCAGAAGACCTCTACAATTTTTTTCTTTTTGATTTTTTACCTGGATTACTGAGATGCATCAGGAGATAAAGTCCTTACTTTTCCATTTAGAATTTATTTTATTTGTACCTAATTTTGTTGTGTTTTCTTTCACCCAATGAAATCATTTCAACAATAAAATTTAGCAAATAAGGCATGCAGAATAAACAAAAGAGCTATGTAATGAAAATAAATAAGCTGTTTGATCCTTTTTCCATCTTTTTATGTGTCACCCCAGCATTTAACAGTTGAGACACAGCATTGACTTTTTTTCATCGTATCCCAGAGTGTACATTATGCAATATTTAAATACACAAAATCAACTTCATAAGATGTAGATAAGAAAAAGATGTGCAACAAGGCAAAAACCTAACAAAAAAAAAAAAGAAATGCAAGATGAAACAGTGGTTAGCCTACATAAAACTGCAAAACAAACAAAATGTGGTCAAAATTAAATGAGTAAGGCTCTTTAAACATGAAGCATAAAGCAAACTGAAAAAGACCAAAACAAATTCAATATGAAACTCCAAAATGACAAAAATAAAATAAATAAAAAATTAGAAAACAATACAGAAAAATCAAAAATCGTGGTAAAGTTTWGAAGTTTTCTAATGATGGAAACAATGTCACGTGACTAATCAAGACTTGACTTTTCGGGACAAAGTAACAGTAAATCGATAATAATCCTAAATCGTATTTTTTATGTTAACTCGTCATTTTATACTGTGGGAGGAATTCATCCATTGTGAACATTTAAACCGGCCCACTCAGTGCTCCACCACCGAGCGGCTCTCCGCCCTCATCAGCTTCATCTGCAGCCTGCATGCTACACGCGCGCGCTCACACACGCACCAGTCGGTCACGGTGGTCCAGGCAGGGACACGTCAGGAGGCTTCAGAGGAGTTTCACTCACTAAATTATGGGGACTCGCTGAAATACGTACTTCATTAGGCAGCTTTCTGCTAAAAGTAAGCGAAAGGTAAGGAGTCAGTTAAATGATTATTTCCACCTGTCGAAACCATCCGTGGGCTTTTACGTGCGTCTCTAAATTTACAACTAGCTAATGTTAGCTAGCATGCAAGCTGGCTAACATTTTAGCCACAGTGGGGTTAGCTAAGGGGCAAACATAAACGGAATGGAAACTTGGTCGCAGTATTGAATGGACGTATTGAGTCTTCGGGGAAGCGAAGTGMTGAATGACTGACTTGCTTGTTGACGTTTCATCGTTTTGCCCTTATCGAAAACCGAGCTAGCTGACACACAGAGCTAGCCGAGCCCCCTTTCCCCCATTCATCTGTCTGGTGTTTTTCCAATTACTCTGACTCGAATGGGTTCTGTTGACACGCTGCTGGTCTTAGCAGTGCTTTCATTTCGTTTTCRTTTTCTCTTTTAACATTTCCGCCATCATAGCTGTCGAACTGTTGACGCTACTGTCACGATGAAGTGATTTTTTTTCCACCTGTGTGTGATTTGATTCAGTCTTAATATGTTTTAGCCAGAATTGCGAGGCTTAATCATCGTTAGATCTGCCAAAAGTACAGACTGGAAGACTTCAAACCAATCAGCCTGTGTGAGTGATAATGTTGTGCTTAATGGAAATTTTTTTTATCTCTTTGAACTGAACTTGTGCATTGAAACAGGTTTTTTTTTCTCCATAATTTAAATGCAGTTTTAGGGGGTGGGCTATGATAATTTAGTTGAATTTGACGCTAAATACACTAGAAGCACATGTCCAATACTGCAGTAACAATAACAAATTATATAACTCGTGTAACTATCAAACTGGTATTTTCCATTGAATTAAACATTTATATCTCCAAGCTGTAAGATACATGTTTAAGACAGATGGACATAACATTTAAGAAGGGATTTTCTTTCAGTTGAGGCCTTTAATGTCAGACCAAACGTTTGGACTTTGACCATTTCTGCTTTGTGAATCACCCAACTGCCAGGAAGTTTCACTATACAGTGAAGGCGCGGGGGAATTGTCATTTTGATGAATATGATGGTTTTGTAGCACCACAAATGTGGAAAAAATGAACGGTGCCTTCCTGAGAATGAATTTGTGTTACCCACATAATGAGCTGACTGATTTATTTTGCAGTTTTGTGTAGCTTTCAGCTTTGTAACACAACCTCGTGTTG